CAGCAGCATGATGTGATTTTTCACAGTGATTATTCTGGTTAGAGGTTCATGAGTCTAACAGCCTCAAGGTAGAAGCTGTCCCTCAGTTTAGTGGTTCTACCCTTAATGCTCCTTAACCTCCTTCCTGAGGGGAACGGGGCAAAAAGTGTGTGTGCTGGGTGAGTGGGGTCCTTCATGATGCAGGTCCTCTTCCTGCATCTGTGATGGTGGGGAGGCCCCCTGAGGAACAGACCAAAAACATGTGTTAGGCTGATTGGTAACTCTAAATTGTCTCTAGATGTGAGTGAGAGTGAATGGTTGTTTGTCTCTATGTGTCCCTGTGATTGACTGGAGACCTGTCCAGGGTGTCCCCCGCCTCTCACACAGTGATAGATGGATATGGGCACCAGGGACCCCTGTGACCTGACAGTAGTCAGTAGTTTATCCACTGGCGTGGTACCAAAATCCTTTAAACATGCTGCCGTCCAGCCTCTCCTGAAAAAAACCAAACCTTGACCCCTCAGTCGTTTCCAACTACCGGCTTGTCTTCAAACTCCCATTTGTCTCTAAAGTACTGGAGAAAATAGTCGAGTCCCAGTTGAAGTGCTTCTTGGAGGATCACACCATCTTAGAGCTTTTTCAATCTGGCTTTAAACCTCTCCACAGCACTGAAACTGCCCTGCTGAAGGTCTTAAACAACATTTTCAGATTCACAGATACCGGTGATTCTGTGCTGCTTGTCCTGTTGGACCTCTCAGCCGCCTTCGACACCATCGACCATGAGATCCTCATTGATAGGTTAGAGCAGTGGGTGGACGTCACAGGATCAGCCCTCAATTGGTTCAGATCTTACCTCGCTGACAGATCCTTTTGTGTCTCCATCAAGGATTTTAGTTCCGCAGAGGCAGAGCTTAAATGGGGGGTTCCGCAGGGGTCCATCCTGGGTCCCCTCCTATTCTCTTTATACCTGCTGCCGCTTGGTGCTATTTTCCGGAAACACACACTACTCTTCAGACCCTCGGAGCATGTGGAGGGGCATTAAGTGCATAACAGATTATAAAGGAAGGAGCGAACAATGCCCCAAAGACCCATCTCTGCCTGATGCCCTCAACAAGTTCTTTGCACGCTTTGAAGACCCGAACAGACCACCCAGCACCAGACTCACCTCACCACCGGATGAAGAGCATCTCAGCGTGACCTCAGCCGTAGTAAGGAGTACCTTCAGGAGGATTAATCCGCACAAAGCAACTGGCCCAGACAACATCCCCGGAAAAGTGTTGAAGGAATGTGCTGATCAGCTCTGCGAGGTGCTGGCAGACATCTTTAACACCTCACTTACCCTGGAGACAGTTCTCACCTGCCTGAAGACTGCCACCATCATCCCAGTCCCAAAAAGCTCTACAGTGACTGGTCTGAATGACTATCGGCCAGTGGCCCTCACCCCGATAGTTGCTAAATGCTTAGAAAAACTGGTCATGACTCACATCAAAACAACCATCAACATCGAGGACCCTCATCAGTATGCATACCGTGACAACCAATCAACAGAGGATGCCATCTCCTCTGTGGTCCACACTGCTCTCAACCAACTGGAGCAGAAAAACTTGTGCGTCCGTATGCTCTTTGTGGACTTCACATCCACCTTCAACACCATGATCTCCCAAACCCTGATGGACAAACTATCCACACTAGGACTAAGCCCTTACATTTGCATCTGGGTCCTAGACTTCTTAACAAACAGACCACAGTTAGTGAGGATCCACAACTTCTCCTCCTCCACCATAACCCTCAGCACTGGCTCTCCTCAGGGATGTGTGTTGAGCCCCCTTCTGTTTACTCTGCTCACGTATGATTGTGCAGCTACCCATCCAGGCTGTCACATTGTAAAGTTTGCAGATGATACAGCGGTGGTGGGATGCATCACAAACAATGATGAGTCCAGCTACAGGCAAGAGGTGGAACACCTGGAGAGCTGGTGCAAAGAGAATAACCTTCACATTAATGTGAAGAAGACAAAGGAGATGATTGTGGACTTCAGAAGGAACAAAAACATCTACACCCCCCTGAACATAAGAGGATCTGCGGTGGAAGTGGTCTCCAGCTACAAGTACTTGGGTGTACACATGAATGACAACCTCAGCTGGAGCAACAACACCACCAGCCTGATCAAGAAAGCTCATCAGAGACTCTACTTCCTCAGACGGCTGAGGCGAGCTGGTCTGGGAAGCTCAGTCCTCACCCCCTTCTACAGGTGTGCAGTGGAGAGCATCCTGTGCTCCAGCATCAACATGTGGCATGGAGGCTGCACAGCTGCAGAAAGAAAAGCTTTGCAGAGAGTGGTGAAGGCTGCACAGAAGTCTGTTGGAATCAGCCTCCCCACCATCACAGACATCTACACCTCAAGATGCAGGAAGAGGGCCACCTGCATCATGAAGGACCCCACTCACCCAGCACACACACTTTTTGCCCCACTCCCCTCAGGAAGGAGGTTGAGGAGCATTAAGTGTAGAACCACTAGACTGAGGAACAGCTTCTACCCTGAGGCTGTTAGACTCATGAATCTCTAACTAAAATAATCACTGTGAAAAACCACATCATGTTGCTGCTGATCTGTTTAAATGTTGATATGTTCATGCGTGCACATCCGCTCACACAGACTCATGTTCATGTTTGTGCTGATGTTCAATGTTTTTATGTTATGAGTGCTTAATGTATATTTAGTTGATGTTTTTCTTAGTTCATATCTTAGATGTTATTACTGTTTTTCTTATACATTTTATTGTTGGATGTATCTGGGACCCTGTGTACATAATTTCGCTCCACCACATGTACCACATGAGGTGCGACTGACAATAAAGAATCTCTGACTCTGACAACATGCCCTTCCACTTCTATGCCGATGACTGTCAAATTTACTTCCCCCTAAGACACAATGGTACATGCTCTATTCAACCGCTGCTCAACTGCCTGGCTGACATGAGGGACTGGATGGCTTTAAATTTCTTGAGTTTCAATGAAAAGAAGTCTGAAGTCATGTTGTTCCCTCCCAACGACACGATCACAAACCACTGAATCAACCTCTCCGCTCTAACCCTGTCAGAAAAACAAAGAGTCACTAATCTGGGCGTGATAATGGATCCTTCCCTGAAGCTTAAAAATCATGTAAACATGATTGTTAAATCATGCTTCTTCCAACTGAGGCGACTGTCTAAACTGAAGCCCATATTGTCCAAAAAGAACCTGGAGACAGTAATACATGCATTCATTACATCTAGGCTTGATTACTGCAATTCACTCCTGTTTGGTATCAGTCAGACCTCCATTGCACGACTACAAGTGGTCCAGAATATAGCAGCCCGATTTTTAACCAGTACAGGCAAAAGAGAGCACATTACACCAGTTGTGGCTTCACTGCACTGGTTACCGGTTCACTTTCGAATCCAGTTCAAAATACTCATGTATGTCTACAAATCACTGAACAGTGTCGCCCCTCCCTATCTCTCTGATCTGCTACAACCGTATGTCCCACCACGTTCCCTGAGGTCAGCAGACCAGTTGCTCCTCACAGTTCCAGGAACTCGTCTTAAGCGCAGCGGTGACATGGCCTTCTCTGTAGCAGGACCAAGACTCTGGAACGAGTTACCTCTGCTTGTCAGACAGGCCCCCTCCCTCTCGGTTTTCAAGTCCCGTTTAAAAACCCACTACTATTCAGTAGCATTCAACACCCGATGATCTGTGTTTTTGATCCTGTATGCTCCACACTGGTTTGTCGTCATTATCTGCATCGTTTTTATGTCTATATTCTGATTTACCTCATTTTGTATTTTGCTTTGTGTGTTACCTGTTGTTTTGTCTGTACAGGTACAGCACTTTGTTTGGCCTTGTAGCTGTTTTAAGTGCTTTATAAATAAAGTGGTATGGGTATGGTATGGTATGAAAGGAAGATGCTGATAAAGATGATGGATGTAAAATAGGGATGCACCGATCCACTTTTTTTTAACTTCCAATCCCGATGCCTAAATCTGAGTATCGACCGATACCTATCCAGTTCCGATATCATGATCATCATTGATTTTATATGAGGCTGTAATAATCTCCTCTCAAGTACAATTTGTACAAATATATGCATGCATGTCCAAAGAGGCAACTTGAGGTAAGTTTTATTAATGTTGGTTAAGTTTTAAAGTTAGAATTAAATTCTGCTAACACAAAACATGTTTCTTTTCATTCCTAGCTTTAAAGTGGATATTAAAGTGATTAATTTAAGTGATTGTTTAAAGTTATTTTATATTTTATAAGGGCAGATATAAGAATTTTTTTCTTCTTTCTGCACTCTTTTCATTCGTTTTCTTTTTGATGATTTTATTTTATTTCATTTAAATGAATGAATAAATGAATTAAATTCAATAAAATGTTAAATGGCTTCAAACATCTGCTAAGTTCATGGCATAAACCAACAGACATGTTCCTCTTTTTAGTATTTTACATCACTTTTATTAAAAACTAATCAAACTGAAGTAAAGGAATGAAAAGTTTTAAGCAGCACATTTGGTTCAAACATGTCAACAAATATGGACACTTAAGGTTTAGCCCAGACTTTTTGACATTTAGACTCAAATCCTTGAGTCCTTCACAGGGTAAATTTCACAGACTGCCAGAACAGACATCGTGCTCCTCAGGTCAGATCTATTATTTTTCCACATGCATTTGGTTAAAAGTCTTAAATCAACAGATTTTTAGTAATACCACCACTACTTGACTCAGCACGGGATTGTTCTGCGTGTGTTGTCTGTTCGGATCAGGACACGTTAGCACACATGCTGTTACAGAGCACTCAGACGTGTGACTCAGACCACCCGAATACAGCTGCTGATCTGATCCCAACTCGTCCTCAGCAGGAAGTCGTCCTTCTGTTTGCTTCATGATGCAGATTCTGGGTTCTTCAGGTTGTGCAGAAGCCTGTTCGTTTTATATGACTTCAGTTTAACTCTACATTCTGTTGTCTCCGTGTCCACCTGCAGCTTAAAGTGAAAGTGTCCACAGAGGTGGCTGTGACCAACATGGACCTTTCTGTGGTGGATAAAGACCAGAGCATCGGCACCAAGACCACCAGGTTAACTTGCAGCTCAGTCCTTTATGTTGTTGACTTTAATCCACAGAAAAGTAAATAACTGTTCTTCTCTTCTTTTGGTTTGACTATCCAGGGTAGATTATCCCTCAAAGGCCAAGAGCTCCTTCACCGCAGACAGCCACCAGAACTTTGCCATGTCCTTCCAGCTGGTCGACGTCAACACCAAACAGGAGCTCACGCCTCATCAGGTACGTCATCAGACTGGAACCAACGTTTGCAGCAAGCTGTCTTATTTCATGTGATTTCATGATCGCTCTGACCACGCTGCTGTTAAACAATGCATGTGGTCGACAGAGATGATCCTAAACTACCCTCCATGGTGACAGTCAGCAGATCATTGAGCTGCTTTAATGTAAGAGGGATTCATTGTCTCCATCCAGACCTTTGTCCGGCTCCATAATCAGAAAACGGGTCAGGAGGTCGTGTTTGTGGCTGAGCCGGACAGCAAGAACCTCTACAAGTTTGAGTTGGACACGGCCGAACGGAAGTCTGAGTTCGACTCAATGTCTGGTACTTACTCCCTCTACCTGATTGTGGGGGATGCCACCTTGGACAATCCCATCCTGTGGAACGTGGTGAGTGTCCGTTCAGACTCTGTGATGTGATGTCTGGAGTGTGGCTAAAGATGAGTTGGCATCTGTCGGCAGGCTGATGTTGTTCTCAAGTTTGTGGATGAAGAAGCTCCAGTTGCTGCTCAGCCCAAGACCCTTTATGTCCCCAAACCAGAGATCCAGGTAAGCCCCACCCCTTTTCCATGTTTTATGTACTAAAAGAAGATGCATGGAGTAAAATCTGTTGTTTCTGCTCAGCACTTGTTCAGGGAACCAGAAAAGAAGCCTCCCACTGTGGTGTCCAACACATTCACTGCTCTCATCCTGTCTCCCTTCCTGCTTCTGCTCATTCTGGTAATGTTTGAAAATATGCACCCAAATGTTTTTTGTTGTTTCATGTTGTTGAATTATCTGAAGCAGGACGTGTGAAAATAATTCAAAAACCCTTTTTTAAACACATAGATACATTTTGATGATGCACTTCCACCTTCCCAAAATAAAAATAAAAAGCGTATGTGCACTTTAAGATAATCTTGTAGCCTTGTAGCCTTTACACGTGGGTGTTGATGTTTCTGAGGTCGCCTTTGTTTTCTCTGCTTCGTATTCAGTGTGGGGCACACATCAAACCAGTGGCTGTTTGTTCTCTTTGAAATGGCCGATGAAATACTTAAAAGCACCTGTGATACTAATTAAGTCAAGTCAAATTTATTTATGAAGCACATTTTAAAACAGCAGCTGTTACCAAAGTGCTTAATAAAAATCAATGGCAGTCATTTAAAGAAGAAAAATTACAAAAATTATTTAAAGGAATCAAAAGAAAAACCAAACACAAAATAAAACTCTAAATCAGTGTTGTCAGTGAAGACAGGTGTGTTTTTAAGAGATTTAAAAACAGGAAGTGAAGTGGTCTGTCTGATGTTGGAGCAGATTGTTCCAGAGTTTAGGACCCACGACTGAAAAAGTCTGATCTTCTCTGAGCTTCAACTAAAAGCAGCTGATCAGATGATCTCAGCACCTGAGAAGGAACAGCTGGTTGAAGTAGGTCAGAGAGATATGAGGGTGAAAGGTCATCTATTCATTTAAAGGTCAACAGGAGAATTAAAAAATCTATTCTGATACGTAAAGGGAGCCTGTGAAGGGAGGACAGAACTGGTGAAATATGATCAAACCTACGAGTTCCTGTTAAAAGCTGAGCTGCAGCATTTTGGATGAGCTGGAGATGTGAGGGACACCAGACTAAGCCCAACATGAAGAGTGTTACAGTAGCTGGGTTGTAATGAAGACATGGACTAATTGTTCAAGGTCAGATCAGGTCAAACTGACTTCAGCTTGGCTGTCTGTCTTAACTGGAAGAAACTTTTCTGTAGAACAGAGTAGGAATGTGTGATGTATACGGTACACGGTAGAAACTATAGACATTTAGCCTATGATAGAGATTTGTCTTCTACCAGCTAACCACAGTAATGCTGTGTCTGATGTAAAATCAGGGTTGTCAGATTTAGTCGTTACTTTTTTTTGTTGAAAACTGTGCGTAAGTGGTAAAGTATTTTCTTTGAGTGCTAAGTAGTGAAGCTAACTACGGCCGGCTTGCCGTACTCTTATTCGGACGCATGCGCAAAACGCTGTGTTCCGTCTACAGTTTTTTTTTGTTGTTTTTTTTTTGGTCGAAAGTTCGTTGGTCAGCTTTAAAAGAGTGTATTTGAGCAACAACAAAAAAAAGGGTTAAACCTGCTCTCTGATCTGTAAAAGAAAGCTGTGTTGTGTGATTTTACTGTGAGACTCTCTGGTTAAAGCCACAGAGGAAACTGGTCACCATTTTGTGTCAGCTCTCCTTAAAGCGGAAGGAGATGCCCACTGGAGGGTTGAAGGTGAAGTGTTTCATTGTAAAATGCTGCTCTGTTGCTGTTCATTTCTTAAGTGAGAATACTGGAAACTTAAGAGTTAATAACATATTATTTTGTTTAAAACATATGACTAAAACTACAATTGATATATTTTGCACTACAAGAAAGAAGTCTAATACTTGATTAGTTTATTTTTTTAAATTTAAAAACTCTGGACCTAGTAGTGGAATTTTCTTAATTGAGATTATTTTGTGGTATAGCAGTTTTCAAAATAAATGATGGCAAAAGGACAACCTTATGCTTTTTTTTCCATTCCTATTGCAAGTTTTATACAAAAAACATATCGTGATATACAGGTCCTTCTCAAAAAATTAGGATATTGTGATAAAGGTCATTATTTTCCATAATGTAATGATAAAAATGAAACTTTCATATATTTCAGATTCATTGCACACCAACTGAAATATTTCAGGTCTTTAATTGTTTTAATACTGATGATTATGGCATACAGCTCATGAAAACCCAAAATGCCTGTCCCAAAAAATTAGCATATTTCATCGCACCAATGAAAGACAAGTGTTTTTAATACAAAAAACGCCAACCTTCAAATAATCATGTTCAGTTATGCACTCAATACTTGGTTGGGAATCCTTTTGCATGAATGACTGCTTCAATGCGGCGTGGCATGGAGGCAATATGCCTGTGGCACTGCTGAGGTGTTGTGGAGGCCCAGGATGCTTTGATAGCGGCCTTAAGCTCATCCAGAGTGTTGGGTCTTGCGTCTCTCAACTTTCTCTTCACAATATCCCACAGGTTCTCTATGGGGTTCAGGTCAGGAGAGTTGGCAGGCCAATTGAGCACAGTAATACCATGGTCAGTAAACCATTTACCAGTGGTTTTGGCACTGTGTGCAAGTGCCAGGTAGTGCTGAAAAATGAAATTTTCATCTCCATAAAGCTTTTCAGCAGATGGAAGCATGAAGTGCTCCAAAATCTCCTGATAGCTAGCTGCATTGACCCTGCCCTTGATAAAACACAGTGGACCAACACCAGCAGCTGACATGGCACCCCAGACCATCACTGACTGTGGGTGCTTCACACTGGACTTCTGGCATTTTGGCATTTCCTTCTCCCCAGTCTTCCTCCAGACTCTGGCACCTTGATTTCCGAATGACATGCAAAATTTGCTTTCATCCGAAAAAAGTACTTTGGACCACTGAGCAACAGTCCAGTGCTGCTTCTCTGTAGCCCAGGTCAGGCGCTTCTGCTGCTGTTTCTGGTTCAAAAGTGGTTTGACCTGGGGAATGCGGCACCTGTAGCCCATTTCCTGCACACGCCTGTGCACGGTGGCTCTGGATGTTTCTACTCCAGACTCAGTCCACTGCTTCCGCAGGTCCCCCAAAGTCTGGAATCGGCCCTTTTCCACAATCCTCCTCAGGGTCCGGTCACCTCTTCTCGTTGTGCAGCGTTTTCTGCCACACTTTTCCCTTCCCACAGACTTCCCACTGAGGTCCCTTGATACAGCACTCTGGGAACAGCCTATTCGTTCAGCAATTTCTTTCTGTGTCTTACCCTCTTGCTTGAGGGTGTCAATGATGGCCTTCTGGACAGCAGTCAGGTCGGCAGTCTTACCCATGATTGCGGTTTTGAGTAATGAACAAGGTTGGGAGTTTTTAAAAGCCTCAGGAATCTTTTGCAGGTGTTTAGAGTTACGTTGTTGATTCAGATGGTTAGGTTAATAGCTTGTTTAGAGAACCTTTTCATGATATACTAATTTTTTGGGACAGGCATTTTGGGTTTTCATGAGCTGTATGCCATAATCATCAGTATTAAAACAATTAAAGACCTGAAATATTTCAGTTGGTGTGCAATGAATCTGAAATATATGAACGTTTCATTTTTATCATTACATTATGGAAAATAATGACCTTTATCACAATATGCTAATTTTTTTAGAAGGACCTGTATATCATTGCCACCCTTCACAATACATATCGTGATATGAATTGTATGCCATATCGCACATCCCTAGAACAGAGCTGATCTGTTTATTAAACAAAGTCAGAATCTAAAACCATTGGGGATTTGTAACAGACTGATGAAGATGAGGCTGAAGAAAGTCCAGGTACACAGGATCAGAGAGAGCTGTAGAACTAGAGCTAAACACAATGACTTCAGTTTTTTGATCATTAATGTTGGTCAATAAAAATAACTTTTCATTTTGGATCCAATAGAACTTTATTCCACCATGCTCATCACTGCTCAACAACACTGACACCACAGAAGAAGAGTGTAGACCACATTCCCATGCGCTACTGGCATGACAGTGCCCCCTAGCGGATTGGCATGCAAACTAAACAAAACAAAGGAGTAACAATTAAAACTTAAATTTGAATCCATCCATTCCTTGATGTCATAAAGACATTTTAACAGAGGGGGAGCAGGAACTGTTGGATTTTAATGGCAGATAAATCTGACGATCATCATAACGGTGAAAACAAAGAGCATGTTTCCTCAGGACAGACCCCAGTGGGAGCAGATGGTGAAAACAGAAGGTATGATTAAGGTCACAACTATAATGCAAAGGTTACTGGTCTCTGTAAGGGTCCCATCATGTCTTCACACTGTCTGAACACATTTTATCAATTCATCATTTCTTGTTACATTTTACCATACCATACCACTTTATTTATAAAGCACTTAAAACAGCTACAAGGCCAAACAAAGTGCTGTACCTGTACAGACAAAACAACAGGTAACACACCAAGCAAAATACAAAATGAGGTAAATCAGAATATAGACATAAAAACGATGCAGATAATGACGACAAACCAGTGTGGAGCATACAGGATGAAAACACAGATCATCTGGTGTTGAAAGCTACTGAATAGTAGTGAGTTTTTAAGCGGGACTTGAAAACTGAGAGGGAGGGGGCCTGTCTGACAAGCAGAGGTAACTCGTTCCAGAGTCTTGGTCCTGCTACAGAGAAGGCCCTGTCACCTCTGCGCTTAAGACAAGTTCCTGGAACTGTGAGGAGCAACTGGTCCACTGACCTCAAGGAACGTGGTGGGACATACAGTTGTAGCAGATCAAAGAGATAGGGAGGGGCGACACTGTTCAGTGATTTGTAGACATACATGAGTATTTTTGAACTGGATTCTAAGGTGAACTGGTAACCAGTGCAGTGAAGCCAAAACTGGTGTAATGTGCTCTCTTTTGCCTGTACTGGTCAAAAATCGGGCTGCTGCATTCTGGACCAGTTGTAGTCGTGCAATGGAGGTTTGACTGATACCAAAACGAGTGAATTGCAGTAATCAAGCCTAGATGTAATGAATGCATGTATTACTGTCTCCAGGTTCTTTTTGGACAATATGAGCTTCAGTTTAGACAGTCGCCTCAGTTGGAAGAAGCATGATTTAACAATCATGTTTACAAGTAAATTTGACAGTCATCGGCATAGAAGTGAAAGGGCATGTTGTGTTTCCGGAAAATAGCACCAAGCGGCAGCAGG